TCGAATTCTGTGAAATTTTGAATTCATCCCATTTTTTGAATTCAAGTTAAATTTTCTGTATCTTCAGATCAACTTATTTGGGAAGTGTTTTGAATTCCAATTTATCACATTTTTTCGGCTCAAAAAATTACTCAAAAACAGTTAAATTGCAATTTTATCAATCGTATCCGATCGATAATAGGTATTGTCAGAAGATATTTATAGTGTGTAGTTAATTTTGTAATTTTTTTCTTCATTATTTTATTGTTTTATTCTCCGAACTTTGCAATAATTTCAATATTTTTTATTATATACTAAAGATCCTTTATAAAATTCCGACATTTGCATATAAGTTCTTTGCAACATTTGAACAATTGTACGTAAGTAGATTGGAAAGTAGATTGGACGTAAGCAGATATAAATATATTGGAAGCAATTTACAACAATGGGCTTTCTTTGTCTGCAGCATTTGAACATTGCAATTAAGACTGGTTAAAAAATTGGAAGAGATGAATCTGATTTGTAGGAAATTTCTCAACACCTATGTAATTGAAATTGTTTCTTGGCTCCTATTATGAACAATCATCCACTACTTCACTTTTTCTTTTTTATTTATTTATTTATTTCCAATGCTTTTGCTGATAAATGTCGTCATAGCCATTATCATCATCCTATCATTCTGTTCCTATCACTCAATTGCTTATACGACTCTTTATACTTGATGCTCATGCTTTTTGAAGTAAAAAAATTTTTCCATTTTTAAAATCATAGTATTTTCAAAGTTTCACAAATTTTTTCTTTATACAACAAATTTGAAAACTAAGTTTAGGAATGGATAAGAAGTCCGAACAAAAGATTTAATGAAATCATTCAGCATCTATAAATCAGTAATATCAATTACAGGAAATGTAGTGATGCAGTTTTTTCTTCTTTCTAATATAGTCTCAATTTTGAAGTTTTGGGAAAATTGAAACGAAATTGTGCAAAACATATTGCGATGGCTTTGCATAAATTAATTTTCACCATACAATATAGCTAAAATGAAATTATTCAGAATGGAGTATTAAACGGTCATTGTTATCGCTGCATTATTACATGTGGGCATAGATTATTAATACAGAGAGTTTGCCACTCTCATCTGGATGATCATTTATACAGACGATACTTACAATCTTAACAGAAGTGACTGAGTCGTCTATATTAAACACTCTTTTACGAATTTCACTCGGTAAGTTTTATTTCATCTATTTCGATAGAGAATGTTAGTTGTTTCAAAGTTTTACATTATGAGAAAGATTTTGGAATTTCCAGCAAACGTGCAAACAAGTACTTTTTTCAAAACAAAATTATCTTCTAATCAAATTTGTATGAATAAAGTTTGCGCAAACATTACTTTGGAACGTTTTTAACCCATTTTCAATGTAAATAAGTTATCATGTTAGTCGTTTGAATGAAAGATGTCACCATGCTGTACTTACAATAAATGTGCAGCTGTTTTCTTTTTCAACGTTAACACATTTAGAAAAGCATTTCCTGGATCTTTACGCAATTTTCAAACAGCAAGCGTATTATCCAGTGCATTAGTAAATTTGAATATTTTTCAGAATTGGCGAGGAATTATTCTCTTCAATATGCATTTCATCTATTTCGCCTTCTTTTTCTTCCAATTGAACAACATTTAAGTTATTGTAAGTTTATTTAAAGTTGAGAAATACAATATAGCATTAGAATATTCTGATAATTTTAAAATAGACAATTTCATATAATTTGAGGAAGTGCAAACGGAGCAAACAAAATTGTTTGATTTACCAGTGCCAAAAGTGACTAAGGAACGGAATGTACCCATAGATTTGCCAATGCAAAGAGTAAGTGGAGAAATAGGAGGATGGTGGAGAAATACAGGAAATTAATGAATTTAACAGTCGAAGACGAGAATGTTGAACGAGAAAGTATCAGGAAAAGGAACGAATCACAGGATAAAGTATGTAAAGAAGAAGAAACAAATTTGAAAAAAGGTTGGACGATTTATGTCCGTAATAACACATGTCGTGAAAACGAAACCTCAAATAAATTCATTGACATTGTAAATTAATGCTAATGATACTATGAATCACTCTTAACATATCTACATTCCTTAAAATTATTTCCCACACTTTTTTTGTTATCTAACCAATTTGCATCCTTATGTTTCCACCCTTAATTTCCCATGTTAATCTTTCTGTTTAATCTTGTTATAATGCTTGTACCATTTCCGGTGTGTTTCCGGTACTTGAATTCTTCATATAAATCACTCCCATTTCTTAACACATATAATCTCGGTCCCAAACCAAGGGGGGGACTCTTCTCTCCTCTTCCAAAGATATCGGCTTCTTCTGCTTATTTTTTCGCTTCTACAGACGTTGGCGGATTTTCATCAATCTCTTCTCACGGTAAAGGTTAATATTCCTTACTGTTGCGTATTCATAAGACAAACCGACTTCCTGTCAAACCCTTTCGCACTAAGTTAGCGCTTCATTTGGATAGATTTGATTGGAGTTTAATTACCCAATCTCTGAGCTCGGCAAATAAATTATCTGGCAGTCATTATTATTTCACGACAACATATATGTTTGTCAAATGTGCGACAGAATATTTTTTTCTCCGAATTATCCACTATGATAGCCCATATGAACATTCATACGGGTGTGAAGTCATACAGTTGTCCAATATGCAATAGAAAATTTTTTTTTCCTGAATTACGCACTGTGGAAGCCCATATTAGGAGTCATATTGAAAAACCGCACAGTTATCGAATATACAACAGAAATTTTCCTCAATTATCCAATATGGAAGCACATAAGAAGATTCATACCGGTGAGAAGTTGTACAGCTGTCAAACATGCAACAGAAGTTTCTCTCAATCATGGCTTAGAAGTCGCCATATGAGGACTCATACTGGTGAAAAATCGCACAGTTATCAAAAATGCGGCAGAAGTTTCGTTAATTATGCAATATGAACATCCATATGAAGACTCATTCCGATGTGAAATCGTACAGTTGTTCGATATGCCAGAAAAGTTTAAAGCAAAACGTAGTTTGCAAAGACACGCAACAATGCATGACAAAAATGACCAATCTTCAATTGTACTATTATGCAGTAAGGGTTTCTTGAATTATGACTCATTGAAATCACACAAGAAGAATCATAAAAAAGCTGATGGGGACATTTTAAGTTGAAAAAGGCGCTGTTATTTTGGTGTGATTGATTATTTGTATTTTCTGTTAGATAAATTCTTGTCACTTATTCATTATTTAATTGCTAACAGTCTTCTGTTGTTATCATTGTTGTCGTTTTTACAATTTATTCATTTTTGCTTCATATG